TCGTCGTAGGTGCATAATAGTCCCTCGAGCGTCAAGCCCTTTTCACCGCGGATGAACTGGGGATAGGTTCGGAAAACCTCGTTGCTCATGGCGTCAATTTGGTCGGTGCTGAACTTGACCATGGGGTTTGTAGCCACCACCAGGGCAGCCATTTCGTCCCGGTTCAGACCGCCATCTCCGTTCGCGTCGAATCGGTGGAAGATTCTCTTCACCTTCTCCAATCTGGTACGGATAGTCGTGGGCTTCGATGAACCCCCCACAGCGTCGGGGACGGGTGTGTTGAGGTCGAGGCCAAGGGCGTCGAAGTCACGGTCAATGTCACCGGCACCATCGTCGTAGGTGCACAATAGTCCTTCGATCGTCAGGCCCTTTTCACCATGGATGAACGGGGCGTAGGTTAGGAAAACCTCGTTGTTGATGGCGTCAACTTGGTCGTTGCTGAACTTGACCCTGGGGTTTACAGCCACCACCAGGGCAGCCATTTCGTCCCGGTTCAGACAGCCATCCTTGTTCAGGTCGAATACCTGGAAGATTCTCTTCACCTTCTCCAACCTGGTGTCAGTCGTCGTGAGTTCTGTTGGAAAAGCTAAATCTATTCTCCCCATAATCTTCCGCGCTTTTCTCTGGATTTCTTATTTCTCCATTCTCCTTCTCCTCAGCACCTATCGGAAGTCAAAAAGGAGAAAGACTCAAGAGAGGAGACTAACAGAGTAATACAGAAAGTAACAAGAAGCTTTCATGATTGGGTTCAATCAGAATCTTCCTTTTTTTTTTTTTTTTTTTTAATGTCTGCAAGTGTTGATTAGTCCCACTAGACTCTCCTTCATGACTCTGGCTTTTCAAGTTAAGCTTTAAAAACTGATGAATCCTGAACGAAAATATCAGTTTGAATTTTTTTTTAATCTAAAATTTTACCACAAGAAGGATCTAATTTTATAGGACTATGTTACTACAACAATTGTATAGTCCCTTTAATCTTTTAACACATGCCTTAAATTATGCATTTACCTGTTTCCATGGCAAATATATGATATTCACAGTTCACGACGACATGTCGTCTTCTTCTTCTTCTTCTTTTTTAATCCTCTATTTCCTCGCCACTCTTTTCATCCCAATTGTCAGGTTCACGATTCGAACTCTGAATCTTACAGTAGTAGAAACAACTCTAATAATCGAATCTTGCAACGTATAGAAATCTGCAAGAGTCCACTCGAACAACCCCAATGATTTTACAAAGATTTCATTTTGGTTCATTTCCTATGCATCTTTTGTTGCTTCAGCTTGACTTGGCTTATTGTTTAAAAGCACAATCTTCTTGAACTCTGCAGGTGGAGGAATCTTCAATTCCACCACTGTAAGAATATAACTACACTGTGGCGGCTAAATTGAGATTTTCTTTTTTAATGCAATTGCAACAAGTTGCAGAAAAATGGCTACCTTGGCAGCAGATCAGCACGCAATTAAGGGCAATCAGATATTTAAGGAATATACCACTTTTCTTGATCCTAACTAAAAAGAAACACGAGAGACAGATCAAAGTACTCGTCAAAGATTACCCAAGAAGCAGCATGAACAAATGAAATTGTCAAAGTTACTACCCAGAGCAAGAGTGATTTTGTATGAGTTGACTTTCCATATTCAGGAGGAGGTAATTTTGCCTATATATTATTTCCTTGAGTTCTTCTCTTTCTTTAGAAGTTTCTTGGGAGTCGTTTTTCATTTGAGATATTCTTTTTTTTTTTTGGTCAGCAACGATACATTTGTATAACTTACTCTATCATAATCTAAGGGGAAAAGGGAGCCTAAGAAGGCTGTTGTAGGGGCTAGCGGGTATACAGACCCAACTAGACCAAGGGAGTGTTATGGCACAATCCTTAGATTTTTTCACTTCAGGTGAGATTCGAACCCTCATCTACAGCTCAAAGAGGGACTTCCCAGGTGGCCACGAGGCATTGGACCAGTGGTTTTCATTTGAGATACTAGGGAGGGACAGCCCGCGCGACGCGCGAGAATTTGGTACTCGTGATTCAAGATAATTAATAATTATTGTTTAATATTTCGTAGTATAAGAACTGAAGTATGATGATTTTATCATGTGATTTTAATAGAAAAATCATAAGTTATATATTGAGTCAATAAAAATAATGTGCAATGAGACATCCTTATCGTTATACTATATAAGAATCTGTTGTGATCAAAGATTATGTTTGAATTTCAACTGCAAAGATAAGGATAGTTTGAAAATATAAAAATGTTTGAAGTGCAATTAAAAAGCATCCAAAGGTCTCTTCTAAAACTTATCCAAGATGATAAAACATTTTAAAATATCAATTGGACCCTTCATCTCTCGAATCTATATATGTTCGTGAAAGATCCCTCAAGCAATGCTTCTGATTTCTCCCTGGACTTAAGTTCAACCTGAATTATCAAGTCAAATTTATCCATCAATCACTTTGCATCCAATCTAATCTAAAATAATTTTATTTTTGACTAACTATTTATATAATTTGGTGGGCATAATACGACTTAATCACATGTTTCTTACAAAGATAATAATGCCCAAAAATGATAGAAAAATAAGAAACTTAAGTGGTCTTTTTCAAAATTTTGTAGAAACTATTCAAATTTGGTGTTTTTTGCTAGGGGCATTTCTTTATAATCTCATAAATAAGTTCAAATCTGCATAATTGTTAAAGATCTGAATTGAAACTATCTTGATTATAAAAAATTGGTGCAAATAATATTTTCTAAATTTGAAATTGTAGAAAATGGTAACTAAAATCAGAAGAAATTCCTCATATGAATTTGAATTGCAAACTATAGGTAGAAACTGCTTAATGATATTTTTCAATGTTTACTTGTATAAGTATCCAATATAACATCTCTACTTAATTGACTCGTTTGAACTATGGATAATAGTTGCTTCAATCAAATCAAAAAACATTATTTATCATTGTACAACATACAATTATGAGTAAATGAATTAATACAATGCAATCAAAATGGTGCTGTAGCTAAAGCATTTAAACTCATCAAGATTCACTACAAATTCTTTTAGATAGCAAAAAAAAGCAATTTTTTTGTATTTGAAACTATATAAACAGTATAATAGAAGAACGAGATCATAACATGGAAAGTAAATAGAGTGCAAATGACATCTTAGTACTATGTAGCATGATTAATTTTCTTTTTTAGTTTCAATGAAGTACAAAATTCTAAGTTAATAAATTTTACAATCATAAAATTTCCAATTAAAATAAACACAAGCTGAATTCCAAATCATATTACATGAAAAAATAACTACTTGAACTATAATTGCTGGAATGTAGTCAACAGATCCCTGGAATCAAGAACAATAGGAGAAAGTTCATGAGAAATAAGGTTATTTGACTTAAATAAAAAGATAATACCTTGGCCGAGAAGGAGAAGATGATAAAATTACTTTTCTGATTATTTTAGAAAGTGACAACATTATCTCAAATTGTACTTTGACCAGAGACAGAATCTCTGAGATCTACTAAGGAAAACAATGCAATTAGTCAGTTTTTGAAATTAGAAGTATCAAAAGGCAAACTATATGGAGTTCTTGAATAAACCAATCATCAGAAAAAAAAAACTACAATCGAAGAAGACAAACCCAAAGAACTCATCTCAATTTAAAGGAAAAGCTATGCATTCCACCAAATATTTAATAGCCATAATAAAACCAAAGAGGTGAAACCAAAAAAAAAAAAGAAAGGGTATCGGCTAAACATGGGGACATAAATATGATAATGATTGTTTAGATAACAATTAAGTTAATTAATTGTAATTAAAATCCAATTATGTAAACATCCAATTAATTTCTTAACAGATGAGAAAAGTTTCAGGAAATTGGAAGGCTTGGATGTTAGTACAATAAATGATTAAAAGGACTTTTATGTAATTCTATCAAAACACAAGCTTTATTCAGTTGTACTTGATACTCAACTTGGCACCAAACATTGTAACATACCAAACCTGCCCCTAACCTTAAATGTCTGAAAGGTTATATAAGTAATTATAATAAAATTAAAGCTATGATGATCATAGTTATTAAACCCGGCCCGGCCCGACGGTCGAACCGGTCAAACCGGTGGACCGGTCATTGGACCGGGCCGGGTTTGGAATCAGATCGTTTGTGCAAAGAGACCGTTGACTTAGTCAACGACCCGGCGGTCGAACCAGGTTAAACCGGAAACCCGGCCGGTTTTGGCCGGTTTTGTCACTAACCGAATTTTGTGGAAAAATTATATTGCTATTGTTGGAACTCGGACTTCGGACCTCTGCCCCAACACTACCGCCTGCTTACCACCAAACTACTTCCATATATGTTGATATAGTAGCTTTATTATGATATATAAATGTTTTTTCAATTCTATCTTTTTTTCTCTAAAACAAATTTATTTGGAATTTTTTAATAAAAATTTATTACCCTCCAAACTCTATAAGTTATAAAATGGATTCCAAAAATAACATATTACATAATTCATTTAAAGATAAATATTATTTTTAATAATTTTTTACACTTAAAATTCATAAATAAGCTAGATAATTACACTAAATATAGATAAAATTTTACACTTGAAGTTTGGTATATTAATAAATAACTTTATATTTGATTGATTCTTATATGAATTAATTATTTTATAACAAATTAAATTAAATGAGCTTTTGTTATGGCATTATTTATTACAATTTATATCATATATCTTATATAAATAATTATGAAATATAATATTTAAATATATGTAGTGACCCACCGGTTCAACCACTCATCCACCGGTTAAACCAGTAACCCGTTGACCCACCTCCTTCGCCGGGTTCCTTCCCGGGTTGGGTTTAATAACTATGATGATGACTTATACTCAATGTTCCAATTACTCTTCAAACACTCTCATATTTCCAAAATAGCCTCAGCCTTGCGGTTGAAATCTAGTTCTAAAATCGTTCTTATATAGTATAAGGATTCAGTAGTTTCCTTTTCATTTTCTTCGCCTGCCACCATTGACCGCGCAATTAGGCAGGAAGACCACGTGGCATCCTACAGGCTCATATTGATTATTGACCCGGGACCCTTAGGACCCACTTCGTCATCTGATCTGACTGCGCCAGCCGCCAAATCTGTTCCGCCACTGCCAGCAACTTCCGCCACCACCTCCTCGGTTGCCCCGACAACCTCCGAAAATTCCTAAAATTCCGTACGTTTGCATCCCAGAATTCCGTACTCATCAAAACCAGCCAAACTTTTTCCCTCCAAAATCACTGAGAAAGGAACTTGAAGAAAAATGAAGGCAGAAACCTTGACCTTAATACTAGTAAACCTAGCTGGAATAATGGAAAGAGCAGATGAATCACTGTTACCGGGAGTTTACAAAGAGGTTGGGGAAGCTCTCCACACGGGCCCAACCGGGCTCGGAGCTTTGACCCTTTTTCGATCCATGGTACAATCTCTTTGCTACCCACTTGCTACTTATCTCGCCGTCCGCCATAATCGGGCCCACGTCATCGCCTACGGTGCATTTCTTTGGGCTGCCGCCACTTTCCTCGTTGCCTTCTCCTCTACCTACTTTGAGGTCCCCTTTTAATTCAACCCTCTTTTTCTTGATTTCTCCGATTCCTTGTGCTTAATTTCGTTTCTACTGTTTGAGAACAAAATCCTGGTATATTATCTCGGAGAATGCCTTCGCCAAGTGAGCCATCCGTTGCTTTTGAGCTAAAATTCGGCTTCATTTGGGATAGATGATCGATCAATTTCAAATAAGGAACTTTATAGAAATTAGCCGTGTATAAAATTGTGATGCTCTCGTGTGAAATTTTAGTGGTTAGGGAAGTGGATTATATTGAATAGCTAGACACATTAGACTAAAAAGGGTTTCCTTCTGTTTCTCCTATCTCAATTGCACTCTCTTAAATATTTGTGGTTAGGTGGCAGTTTCTAGAGCATTGAATGGAATTGGCCTTGCTATAGTAGCACCTGCTATTCAATCCCTTGTGGCCGACTCCACTGATGATAGCCACCGAGGTACAGCTTTTGGGTGGCTGCAATTAACCAGCAATGTTGGATCCATCCTCGGCGGATTGTTTTCTTTACTGATAGCTCCTATTACGATATTAGGAATTCCTGGCTGGAGGATTTCTTTCCATCTCGTTGCATTTATCAGTGTTGTTGTGGGTCTTTTGGTTCGCTTATTTGCCAGGGATCCTCACTTTCCAGATGGGAGTGCAAGAGCTGTCAGTAAAGTCCCTAAAAAGCCCTTCATGTCTGAAGTGAAAGATTTAGTTCAGGAAGCAAAAAATGTTATAGGTATCCAATCTTTCCAGATTATTGTGGCTCAAGGTGTAACCGGTTCATTTCCTTGGTCTGCTTTGTCATTTGCAGCAATGTGGCTTGAGCTCACTGGCTTCTCTCATGCAAAAACTGCCTTCCTCATGGGCTTATTTGTGGTAGCGAATTCACTTGGAGGACTCTTTGGAGGCATGATGGGCGATGTGCTGTCTAGACGTCTTCCAAATTCTGGCAGGATAATCCTATCACAAACAAGCTCAGCTTCAGCAATTCCCCTTGCAGCCGTTCTTTTGTTGGGGTTGCCTGACAACCCATCAACAATCTTCCTACATGCCTTAGTCCTGAGCATCACTGGGTTTTGCATATCGTGGAATGCTCCTGCCACAAACAAGTAAAGACCTGCTATCCAAGCTTTGCCATTTTTTTTTTTGGCTTTTGGCTTATTGTGTTCACTAAATCCATGCATTATATGCTTATCTGCATGGTTTACATTGCTTTCACCTGATTTGTTAGGTTGCAAAAATCATGCCTGCACCCTTTTCCTACTTTATGGAGTGTGTGTTTTGGGATTCATTGGGTATTGATCTTTCTTACCTCTCTTACCACAATGAATTGACCTAGTTATGAGGATTCTAGATTCTATTCAAATTATTTGGTCGCTTAAAGTGGAACCAAAATATCATCTGCCTTTGACAACATGTTTGACACTGAAGTTTCAGAAAGAAGCTCTTGATTGACTAACAAGTTTTGATGCTGCTTGTCTCCAAATAGTTCCCTCTTCTGGGTTAGATGGAAGTGAGAAAGGGATTGAACGTTATTTATTTAATGCATACGGTTGTGATTAACTTGGACAAGAAGATTTAGCATGATAATAACATTTTCTGGACAGTCCAATTTTTGCAGAGATTGTTCCAGAGAAATCCCGAACGAGTATCTATGCATTGGATCGGTCGTTTGAGTCTATATTGTCATCATTTGCTCCGCCTGTTGTTGGATTATTGGCCCAGTATGTCTATGGCTTCAAACCAGTTCCTGAAGGTTCTCTGCAGATTGCAACGGATAGAGAGAATGCTACATCTTTGGCTAAAGCACTGTATACAGCCATTGGAATCCCAATGGCTCTATGTTGCTTTATATACTCTTTTCTCTACAGAACCTACCCAAGAGATAGGGAGCGGGCTCAGATGCAAGCACTGATTGAATCAGAAATGCAACTAATGGAATTGGACACCTCACGTCCAAGAGGAGTATATGGTCAGGTTCAGAGCTCTGATCCCAAAGAACATTTTCTTGATGATAGGACCATTATTGATATGGACTGCGGTGAAGAAGAATTTGATTTTGATGATAGTGATGAAAAGACAGCAATTTACCGGCCATCTAAAGCTTCGAGTTCCGGTGAATAGGAACACACCTGGAGAAGCTGCTTTTAAGATGAATACTTGCTGCTAGAGTTAGCCGCCTCATTATCTTATCTTATTCGGTATAATTACCATCAGGCAGATAAACTTTATGTGCTTTTGGTGAAGCTCCAACAGAATATCCATTTTCTGAAGAGATCTCCCTTGGCTGGGCGATACAACAGAGCAGATATAATTAAATCGACCTGCTGAAGGCTATACACAAGTTCTTGCTTGCAAGGAAAGAACAAATTGTGAATATCTGATACATCATTGCCAGCTCCGTGGTTTCCCTTGGCTTCGTGATACTACTATTATTCCCTTTTCATTTATAACTTTTTGTAGGAACAGAAGGAATCCAATTGAAGTAGAGCAAGTTCAAGCAACAAAATACTTGTAAATTATGAAGTAGAAGAGCGAGCATCGGATTCCATCATTGATTTGTTTCAGCAAGAGGATACATATGCGGGGAATTCGTGATAACGCATGCTCGTCCGTTTATTGGATTTTGTCCAAGACTTTTTAAATCAACGAACGTTGTTAAACAGATTGTCCCAAGCATATTAGGGTAAGAGAAATCATTAGCTTTGAGAAGAAGTACATCTTAAGCCTTCATTAATCAAGAGCTTGGCAAAAGAACTATACATGTATTTCGCTATTTGAACGGTCCACATAAAAATCCTACCAGATGCATGGATGGCTATAAAGAATAGAAGGAAAATGAAATGGTAACCGACATCTGTCAATAGATTCCTGTTAGACACAGAACTATGTAGCATTCCCAAGGACAATAAATCCAGGCCCAGGTGAAATCGCAGTCATGGCTCAGCCATCTCTGAGCAATGGCCAGCAAGAAACCGCGACAGACTTATTTAGGTTTCGTGGCGCATATCATCACAAACATTCTATTCCTAGTGACTTTAGCATCCACAAGACCACAAGCTGTGCAAAGATCTTCAAGTTCCTTGTTGGATAGGAAAACGTGACTTCCAGAGACCTGTGCAACGTTCTACAACAACAACAAAAAAAAAAAGAGGGAAAAACATGAATCATTTCATACATGAAGATCTTCAAAGTCCTGTTTAGGATAGATTAAGATTGTGCCTGTGCTAAAAGCATACATTCCTGACACCTAAACAGCTTTCAGGATTGACAATGCACATTGCACAAATTCAAATATGCTTTGGATTTTTCACTTGTGCAGTGAATCCTTGATGCTTGAGGCCAAAATCATTCTATGTGACCAAGTTGAAACATTTTCCAGCCCTTAGATGGGCAAAAATAGAGCCAAAAAAATTTTGCAGCATACTGAGTATGTTCCGAATGCCATGACAGAAATCAATTACTTAGATAAATCTCCGCAATCAATTTACTTCACTCAGACAATTACAAAGTGCAAGAAATTTTTTTTTTTAATATGTTCAATTATTTTACTACGAAAAAAGGACAGCGTGCTTTTGTAACATCAATCTGTGATTTTTCCAGCTAATCCTCTCTCCACCTGTTCCCTCCATTGCTATTGGTAATCCAAGTCATTCTTTCCAAGAAATGTAGCTAATATGTTGGTCGAAAAGACCTTTTCAATCTAAGAAAAACCTACCTGCCGAAGAGGCCTGACTAATGGGATATACGAGAATAGACCATCTAAAATGTAGGTGGTAGCAACAAACATTCCCCCAGGTCTTAGTACTCGACTTATTTCAGCAACCTGTAAAGTCAGTGCACAAGACACAACATCTTTAAATTGTTCCAAACAAATTTGCAACCTGAGCCTGAGGTACAGTTGGGATCTCATTGATAATACTTCAAAATAACCAACTGAGGCCCACAATCAACATAAACACAGAGTTGTATATAAGTTGAGATAAAATCAAGAAAAACCAGACATGAAACCTCGTGGAAAACAGTTCACAAAGGTATATGTTATTTGCACAAAAAAGTATTTTGAGCTCTCAAACAACCATTGAACTCATCAATTATCTTCCTGTCACCATAAATTTCAATCTTTAAAAGAAAAGTAGAAAAATTTATAATATCTAAGTGTATTTAGAATATAATTTCAGTCCCCTTTTCTCCACCCAGAGAGAGAGAGAGAACAAATATAAGCAAGGAAATAAAGTTGTGCCAATTGTGCCTTTTCTTTTGTTCTTTTTGAAAGTTGGAAGGAGTTCAACAAAAATACAGGATTCTCCATAAAAAAAAAATATTGGTGTCTAGGAACAGCTTACAGCCACTGATGGTGAAGGCCAACAATGCAAAGCAGCACCAGCATGAACAGCATCCACAGTACCTGATGCAAATGGAAGCCTGGAGATATCTGCTCTGACCAAGATTATTTTCCTTGAATAAAGAAATTTATATTAGAAAAGACACATAATCATTATGAGAAATGAATTCCATAGGTATGTTTTTTTGTTTTTTTGGGGGGGGGGATTTACTCTTTGGGAAAGTTTTCCTCCTGGTTAATAAATTCAGAACACTGCCGCAACATAGCTTCTGAAAAGTCCAAGGCAACAACAAGAGAAAACAGTCCACTCTTGGCAAAAAGCCTGGAAAACATCCCACTTCCACAGCTGGCATCAACAATAGTTCCACCCAAGACTGGGTTAAGGTAATCCTTGATCAATTCAAACTGCAGTCAACGTTTTTACATAGTCAGTTGAGCTTAGCTGGCAACAGAAAAATTTATTGTACAGGTGAAAGTAGGAAAAGCACTATTGCCACTCAATATCTATTGTTTGTGACAATAAGCAAAATGTTCCACTTAGTAGCCAACTTCAAGTTACAAAAAGTCCACAAGATTTAAATTATCAGAGTTTGTATGCCCTGATTACACATAAACTCAACCACTGTTCCCAAAACACAATACATATTACAGCTCACTTTATGTATATATAAGAAACAATGTTCAAGATTAAGTAGCTCTTCGTTATTATGCTGTCTTAATTCCTTAAGAATCTACTCTGTTTTTTACAGAACGACGATATCTAGAATAATAGAAACATGAATTTTTTTTTTTCAGGTTAAAGTTACCTGTGACCCAATGCTTCCTATGCAGCACTAATCATAAATAACAGTTGCAGTTCACTAAAAATGAACAACTGTGCCTTAAAACTTAAAGATGCCTCATAGAAGATTTCCTGAATAATGCAGATAAACTATGATAGACAAGCTTGAAATTTACCTCTTTCTCTGGACCTGGAAAACCACCCCATATAGAAAAACTTTGTCGCCATCCTCTCTCATACAAAAAGGACACGAAAGGAAATCTGTTTCAAGAAACATAGATCCTCACAATATGTAATGATCATCACTTGATCACTCTCAAATTGCAAACTTCATTTGTGTTTCTTCATTAGTGTTATATCATGCAACAGAACATTATTTCCCAGTACCAAACTATTTACCTGATCTTAGAAGATGTTATTTTACAAAACTACCTTCAAAAGAAGCAAATCTTGGACATTAAATCGTTGCAAAAGAAAAAAGCAACAAAGCTATTGTTGCCAACTCAACAGCAAAAGACTGTCTATCTTCATTGACCTATTGCATCTAAATGAATTGGTTGCATGTAGTTGTTTCCATAATGAATTTTCATTTGGATCCTTGCTTTTCGAAGTTCACCTAACAAAGTGAAATACTTGGTCCCATTAGAAAAAACTGGTCACCAACAGAGTTTGACATTTAACTGTTACTATACAAAAATAGCAGCCCATACCCATTATGAATGGCATTACGAAAACAGGTAAGCTACATAGCCTAAGGACGTCATACATCGTCCTAGAATAGTGCAGTTCAATCGTCTTTGGTGCAATACCTGAAAAGCTCAGTAGAAGCTGGCATAGCTTCGCCATACCCCTTGCTACCACTAGTGATTGTCAGGTCAAGATGCGTGTCATTTCCAGAATAAGCCTTCCTGCAGGTTCTGCACCGTAAATTGGGCCGTGCCGCAGAGTCCCTAATATGATCAACAAAAAAAGAGAAAAGGATTCAATCATGATAATTTTTAACAAGGAAACAGAAAATAGCAAAAGCGTCATTCTTATATAGAATAGAAGCAAGAATGGATATGGATATCATACTTACGCAGGGAAGCTTGAATCAGCAGTGTAAATCAGAGGGGTATAGCAAATAGGACAAGCTAAAGTATTCTTGCAGCTGTCCAACTTCTTCTCATCCAGAATAGTATCCTATATGAATCAAAATTAATGCATATATTAGTAAATATAGTTATCTTCAGAAACCAATCTGATTTCATTGCCAAGAATTAACTAGCATACATTGATCATCAAGAAAGTCAATTAATCAGTTGTTGCAACGGGCCTAACAGTCTAATATTTGCTCATTTATTTACTTTACAGAGTCGCAACTCCCAAACATTTTTTGCATATGAAAATGACTATTTTCTTGATATAGCCCACTGGTTTAAGAAGTTTTATTGCTCCTCAATGACTTTCAGGTTCCATCCTCACTCTTGTCTATCCCTGTCCTTTCCCACTTATTCCTGCTAAAAGTTAACCCACAAAAAAAAAGAAAAGTAAATAAATAAAAGTAACCCGCCCCGGACAAAGGAAAACAACCAAGGACATTATAAAAGGAAAAACCAGAAGGAGAGAGAGGGAGAAAGGAGATTACAGGCTTGGTTTCCACAAGAAGAGTGGAAGAAGCTCGAATTCTCGTAGCTGCGAAGGCATTTTTAATGGTTTGTGGGATGAAGCGACTGGCAGTAGTTTTGAGCAGCAAAAAGCGATCTTGTGAGTTGTTATGACTGAGGCGACTCGGCAAGAGCAGCGAAGACAAACTTCCCATACTGACCACCGTGGCCATTTCAGCCGCAAATGGTGATTGGTGAGTCTTAAACCCGGGCGAGTCGAGTTTCTGTCTGTTTCCGTGCAAAACGATTTTCGATACCAGAGGACAGGATTAATGTTCCCGAATTTCTGTTTTCATTTCTTTCTCCCATTTGACAGATATTTAAAAGGTTAGGTGACGTGTCCCAAGAGCTGCACCCCCAACTGCCCAACATCCACATCGTACTTGACACGAACTGTGTGCTAGTAATACATTGGAGAGTCTGCTCGGACTTTCTAGTTTTGTCATGGGATGCTCCGGAAATGGAGGGAGGCACAATTCAAGTGACCAAATGGATTTGGATGTGGTTTACATGTTGTTGTGTTTCATTATTGTTTTCGTAGCCTTCTATATCTTCAAATTGATTTCTCTTTACTGCTTTCCTTCTTCAATAGAAATCCTTGCATTTTTGGATGGGAGGTGATAGCCATTGAATTACCATTTGATTGTGGTTTTAGTTAGCTAATTGGGAATTCGGTTTTTCCCCGGTTACTTCCTTTTCTATTTTTTCACAATATACAACCAGATGCGAGACGCGTATGTGTTTCATCTATTAATAACGATTAGGATTTGTCAAAAAAAAGTGATCATGACCCTTTCTAATAAATGAAACACATGTCATGTATCCAGTTATGTGTTTTAAAAAATGAAAAACTCTAACTAGAACGAGACTAAATCGA